CTACAACCATGAACAGCGTGCACAACGCAGAATGTTGGTGAATCCCAATAGAAACTGGACTCTGGGTGATTGCTAATAATGTAGGTTCATCAGCTTCAACTGATGTGCCATCCCGGTAGGGGATCTTGTAATTGGGAGGTTATGCACACGTAGGAGCAGAGGCACACGGGCTGTCTGTACCTTTTCAACTTCGCTGTGAACCCAACACTTCTCTTATATTTGGGGATGAGGTATCCTACTCCGTGTATCTCTTTAAAAGAAACCATTTTTTCCTCCTTTTTCATTTCTAACAGACCTGTCCATTTAAGTCCACTCTGACAGTTCCTTTACCCTCACGAACATTAGGCTGTGGCGGCAGGTACTGAGTTGAAAATCATTTTCTTGATCAGCTTTCACTTTCCAGTCTGGCTCATATAATTGTCCTTGAGACAGTCAAGTCATTCATGAGCTCTGGGAATGCGGTGACTGGGACACTTGATTTGGTCCAGGTTCCAGAGGGCCAATGGGCACACAAACCTCCCTCATTGTAATTCCCAAAGGGCTTGCCACATGACTGACTTCCTGAAGCGGGTCAGGCACGCACACGTCACTTCCTAGTCTGTACCTAAAAGCTGTGTGAGCTCTTGCCCAGCCTTCAAAGGCCACTAAATACAAATTTCAGCAAAGAAAGGGAACTCAAATGCTTTGAGTTAGGGATTCTAGGGTCAGACTATCTGAATCAACTTATCTTCATCCCTCCTCTTCCAAACTGTTGACACAGCTCAATAACTCATGTAAAATGCCTGGCACATGGGAAATGCTCGGTGTTAGACTTTTTCTGCCATGTCAAGGACTGAGCGTCCAATACTTATTACTGTCCTGGTCACTCTGAATTCACCTAACCCTTTACACTAACAGTCATTTCGGCACTCTTCTCTCATTCACGAATGCTAAGTGCACCAGTTCCCAAACCTAGCTCAGAATGTCGGCTTTTAGGATTCCAACATTGAACTTAGTAATTTCAGAAGCCACACACCACTTGCTCTGCAATATTCTAAGATACCCAATGATGTAGGCCAACTGCCCCTTGGGCTGATGGCAGAAATGTCCAAGTACCTCCAAGAGGTGGCTTAAATACTCTTTTAAAGTGCAGAGCCAATGACAAATTATGAACTCCCCCCCCCCACGCTGCCAAATGGAATTGATCTTCTGGAGGGTGGGCCCCTTGCATAGGCTTCCCTTGCTAGTTGAGTGTTCTAGGAACCCATCTGTGTCAGTGTACCAGCTGGCATTGTTGTGAGAGGCTGCGTTCAGCTTCAGTAAAAAGTTTTTTGAAGACTCACCGTGTTTGCCCATTTCATGATAGGTGATTTACAGGTACATCTGCCCACACCCTGCTGAGTGTTCAGCAGTTTTTCACCAAAGAACGGCATGACCCTCATGCCCCGCGCTTCTTATTCACTCAAGCTTTGTTTTCCCCCCGTTTGTTTGCCCAGACGAAAGAAGTCCTTAGAGGGAAATGTTTTGCCAATGTGGAAGAGGTGAAACAAAAAACTGACAGAATCACTACAAGGCATCAAAATCGAGAAGTTCAAAAATTGTTTTGAGCAGTGGAAAAAATGTCAGTATGTATATCGCATCAAAAGGAGAGCACTTTGAAGGTAACTGAAGTTTAAATGTGTTAAGAACACACACACAATTTATAAATTCTGGGGGTTTTGGTCCCCTCTTGTATGATGCAGTGGTATCAGACAACTAGATCTCTCATCACCGAGACCTTCTCAGAGCTCATGAGCTATTGCAGTGATTTTCGACTATTTTCATCTCATGGCACACATTACTAAAATTGTTCAGCACACGAAGTTTTTTTCTCTTGCCAATCTGACAAAAAAAATAGGTGTAATCTTGACTTACTCACACTAGATGGCTGTTGTCATCTAATTTTGACAGTCTAAGGAAAGAGGGCAGTGCCCCTAAGCAGGTAATGTACATTTTAAAATTACTGTGGCACACCAGTGTTCCGTGGCACACTGGTTGAAAATCGCTGAGCTACCACTGCACCACCACCTCAAAGAACTTGGTTCCTAGTTGAATGTCTCCCCAGCCCTTTGCAAGCAGCCCCAGTGTGGCTAACGGGCAGGAGTGGAGAGCTGGGGCTTGTTTGTCTTTATGGCGTACTTCTAGTCACAGATCATGGAAAGCGTTTAAATAAAAGCAGCCGTTTTATTCAAACCAAAGTAAAGATTATTTATACTTCTTCTGCATGTGGTTCTGGGAAATAAAGATGCTCAAGACCAAATACATTACATAGCTTCCCTTCCACTCCTCTGCCTCCTGTATTCAGTACACATCGCAGACCCTCATTGTTCTTGGCAAGGGACTAACTTGAAAAAAGCTGGCTGGACCCACCAGCAAGGGCATATTCTACATCTGGTGTATTTCACCCCACTTTGTAACATGGCTTTTTCCTGAGACATGCTTGGACATATCTGACCTCGAGGTCAGGACATCCACCCATGACCAGGCTTACAAAACCTAACCATTAGCACTAACCCTTGTCCCTTAAGTACCACTGCCACGCTGAAGCAGTTCTGAATCAATACTGAATACCAAACCAGAGACCACTGAGTTTGCTTACAGCTCAGAAAGCATGCTAAGCCTTGAGATACAAGTACTTGTCAGCCTCTGGCATTTCCAAGACATTTATTTAGGCTTTCATATTGGTCCTCCAGTGTCTGCAGAGCAAGTCCTCTTTACTTCCTTTTCTAACACAATTCTGGTCTTTGATTTCCATTGGTGGGCACTGGACTTGCTGCTAAGCTGCAGCCTACCACTGCATTCAATACTCTCCTGGAAGAACATGCCTGGTTTGTCCATTAAAGCTTAAATGGACTTCCCAATGACAACATGCTGGTTCACTGAGGCTATCTCAGGAGAAATTCCCAAGAGGTCTAAGCAGCAAAAAATGAGCTACATGAAGTGGTCCATTACATTAGGAATATTTTAGATTTTAGGCAGAAAGTATGTAACAGACTTAAACAGGTTTAGGATACAAACTCCGTTCGGTTAAACATCAGTCACGAGAATTTGTGGCTGGCCTTGAAAAAACATTCAATCACTAACTCTGTCTCCTTCTGACCTCCTGGAAAAGGAGTCCTGGTCCAAGTATGACGAGACAAAAGCCTCGAGTTTGCTGCCTACTCTCCTCACTCTTAGGTATCACTGACTGCGGTATGTTTAGCTTGTAAAGAAATCTGTACAGTATAAACATCCCTAACCCATTCTCCTGACTGAAATCCAGACGTCAGCTGATAAATGGACACTGCAGCCTACTTGCAGGGGAGCACTAGGACCTTGAGCCCACAGCACCACCTGTCTTCGTGGCGGTCCTGCATAATTAATCAGTATATATAATAGAAAGCAGAAATAAAATGTACTGATGGACCTAAAACATAAGGCTTAAAATTGTAACCGAAACAAATACAGAGATCAGGTATGCCTAAAATAATACATCCACACCTTTTATAAGGCTGTACAAAAGAATAAATGTATTGTGAAGGGACAAAAACCTAAGATTTGGAAGGGTTAAAGCTTTAATGAAAAAGTTTTAGCTCATGAGAACAGATTCTACTTCAAAACAAACAAGCTGGTTACTATACTTTACAGCCCATTTCCAGGAACATATTACAGCTGAAATTAAGGGACTGCTCATTATGCAGGACAGGTTAAAGTCACTACTGAAACAAAACAAGAGCCACGTGGCACGCCTTAATTATTTACCAAAACCAACGACCACCACCCATCACCCAAAACCCAATTTAAAAGTACAATTGGTGCCCTGACTTGGTGTGACTGAATGGCCTGAGCGCTACCCTGCAAACTGAAAGGTTGCCAGTTCGATTCTAGTCAGGGTACGTGTCTGGGCTGTGGGCCAGGTTCCCACTGGCAGCTGCGAGAAGGAACAAATCAATGTTTCTCTCGTGTATCCATGTTTGTCTCCCTTTCCTTCTCCCTCCCTTCCCCTCTCTCTAAAAAATAAAAACCTTTTATAGAAAAAGTACTCTCAATTATATCAGAAGAGATAAAAAGAAAGTGGACCATTAAGATACATACTGTGTATGTGTATTTTCCGAAAGCACTTAGAAAAGAGAAAGGCGAAAACCTCCTGTGAATTCCAAATTCAACACAGTACAAAGCAAAAAACTTTTATTACTACACTCACACAAATAAGTGTCCCAAAGTTTACCCCAATAGTTTAAGATTATCCAGTACTAGTTTCCACAGGAGAACTGTTTTAACTTCCAAATCCCACTCAAAGGATAAAAGTGGAGGAAACTGCTCTTTAAGTGCTCAGGACTGACCTTCACTTCAAATGCCATCTTTGTCCTTGGGCGAATGTACATCAGCACTAAACCGTGATCCAGCAATAGTTTCCTGTTTGATTCAGCACGGGTCACTTCAGGAGCTTAATACAGGATAATGCTTTCACCACTCTCTTATGAGACAAATTTAACTTTAGGTCATATGACATGTAGTGAAATATTTAAGAACTTACCAATCTGTCAATCATCTTAAAGAGTCCGTATAACATACACAGCAATATTATATTTATAACCAGAAACTGCACTGGCTGATAGACACATTAGTTTGTTAAACTCTACCTGAAAACATGCTATTTTTATTAAAATGAAACCCCCAAAATTTAATCTCAAGTTACATGGTTTTACAGTCCAGTCTCACTGAAGTAGCACACAGATTTCCTTTCTTGCAGACAAGATGCAGGAAGAACCCACGAAGAGCACACTGGCAATGTGATAAAGTGTACTACCTGAACTACGAATTAAGTCATGAAATTCATCTGAAGAATGCCAAGGAGTTACCAGAGAGATTATGTAATGGCCTTGATTTTTATTTTTCTTTACCTAGAATTCTACAAATTCTAAAATTTATCAATTGATGTATCTTTTAAATAAACAGCACCAGTCTTGCCCATTAATACAATTAAAATTTGACTTTCTCAGTTCTTAGTTCACAAGTTTATTATGAAAAACACTGCAGTGCTCTTGTGCAGTAACATCGTCTTACAGTAGGGGGAAAAACAGTTCTGTTCAAAACAACTCACCAGGTTCTGACAATAACAAAAAAACAACATGAGGCTGAGATTTGAGAAGGAAATAAACTTGAGTGCAGACAAATCATACAATTAAATTAAACGGTATCCCTGAAAATAAACAGAACGATTTCAAAACTCACAAGTAGAGGGGAGGCCTTGGTACTTATTTTTAAAAATGTTCATTAAGCTCCAATGATTGTTGCTATCCTTATCTACATTCATGCTGAGTAAAGCTATAGCTAAATGGAAGTTAAATTGTATTCACGAGGTGTTAATGTTTACATCTTATTATCTGCAGTCTCTCAGAGAAAGCAAAAGTAACTACAAATAACGCTATGCCAGAAACTGGTTTCTTGACCAACAATGTCGCTTCAGCATGCAATGAACTGGTTCATTCTAAAGTGGTCACGGCTGTTGATGACAAGAGGCTTTGTATTTTTATATGGCACATCTTTTGGTCCGTGTGAAAACAAGTTTTTTGAATGTTAACTATTCTCTGACACTTTGGAGTTACTGTTGCTCTTCCCATTTCCATTAGGTCAATATATGGTTCATGGCAATACTGTACAAGTTTAAACTTTCATTACAGGAAGTAGTCTGGGGTACGACGAGTAACATGGGGCTCACCCCTGCGAGGTGCTGGATCAAACTGCAAGCTGAAAAACAAGATGCAATTTGTTCATATTCTAAGACATCAATGTACTGACAATCAAAATCAAGGACAGCAGTCTTTCAAATTCTACACATTTTTTTCCTATCCAATTTCAACTTGCCTCAATGTAACAGAGACCTAACTGCAGCCTCCTCATGCATTTAATAAGGGTCTTCTAGCTGAATGCCTCGTCAAAAGAGCCAAGGTAACCTGAGCCAGAGAGGATGTGCTTTTATATATTGGGCTTCCTTGTAAGATCATTTGAAAGACGGGCTCTGCTAAATAAATAAAACATAGGTTTAAAAGTTGTAATTCAGCCCTGGCTGGTGTGGCTCAGTGGACTGAGTGCTGGCCTATGAACCAAAGGGTTGCCAGTTCGATTCCCAGTCAAGGCACGTCTGGGTTGCAGGCCTGGTCCCCAGTTGGGGGGTGTGCGAGAGACAACCACACATTGATGCTTCTCTCCCTCTCTTTCTCCCTCCCTTCCCCTCTCTCTAAAAATACCTAAAATCTTCTAAAAGTTATAATTCATATTAGGGTCTATATATCACAAGTTTCTGTTGATGTATTTCAAAACACATACCAGACATAAGTCTGTTTCAAAGGAAACTTAAAAATCAAATTGGAATGGATTTAGCATAAGCTTTTCAACTCTTAATTCTCCCACAGTCATGGCAAACAACTACTCAGGTGTAGATACTTACAAAGAGTATTTTAGAGTATCATCAAGTTCCATGATTGCAGCTTGGTTACCGCAACGGTAACAATAGTTTGGAGCACTGAAAATCGTTACTACATTCCGGTCATGGCACCAATTATACCCCTACAAGAAAAACAAGAGACTTTTATAAAAACTCACTTGACTCCCTTATTTACGTAACTGAATGTGACTCCACTAGAGAGGGGGAAAAATCTCTTAAGACTTGAAAACTATCAACACTGTTTCTGGATAATTTAATAATTTTCTGTACTTTCCACAACTTAACAAATAGCACCAATAACTAAAGAATAAAATGCTTCTTAAAAGTGTGGCCTTTGTAAATAGCAGTGTCTGACCAGCCTCTTTCATTGCAGTGACTCTAAACAAGCAAACACATACTCTGAGGAGACCACGGCTTAATCCTTCTATCCTCAGTCCTAAGTGAAGCGCCCCCTGCCCAGTTGTTCACCAACCAGGTTCGAAGGAGAGAGACCCCCAGGATTTCCGGCTTCACTCCCTCAGACTATTTGATTGAACGAGTTCCTTTTAAACTATTGTTCACCAGTTTCTTTCCCTATCTTTAGCAAAGTCAGACTTTACTGCTAATCATAACAAAACTTTATTAGAATTAATCTAAATAGGACCCTAGTTTTACAAATATGCTAAATCAATGTTCTATGCCAAGAATTTGAACCAATTTCCCCTTTTTCTTCTTTCAAATCACCTGTATCCTACCATCCAAAGGACTGCTTATTTTGGTTTACTTCTTCCCAAACTCTCCTCCACACATATATATTAAATATATAAAATAACAAAACTGGGACCATAAAATATTACATTCCCCATTCTCCTGCCCCCCTGAATCCTACATTCCTGCTCTTGAATCCCAAGCATATCCTGTCTTTAGTGTCTGTCAAATTTATGGTGACAGGAGACTAGACTTTGGGTGGTGAGTACACAATGCAACACATTTAGGATATATTACAGAACTGCACACTTAAAACTTATATAACGTTACTAACCAATGTCACCCCAATGAACAATAAAAACGTTTTCACTATGAATTTCAAAAGTTTGTGATCAAAAGCTTGAGATCTTAATTCTAGCGTGCAAGCTATACTGGCAAATATCAGAAGGAATACATGGAATGTTCTCATTAACACCATTTATTTAAACTCCCTAATAGCTTCCTTCATTAAGTTTGCTTAAAAAGCAAATCAGGTTTCAGAGAACAGAACATACCTCCATCACCAGCTGGTGCGCTCTGGACACCAACGTGAGGCCATTGGCATGATTAAATGTCTCAGAAATATCTTGTCCAAAGGTGTAACCAGCTCCTCGAGGAGATATACCCCAACCACCACGGTCATCTGGATCTGACCACAGCAAGTCACACATTGGACCCTAAAAAAAAAGTTACCTTTTAAACAGACTCTTGCAAAAATGGTTAATACATGATTTGAGTAATTCATTAGAAGCAGCACTGTGCTAAGCCACACTTTTTAAGTGGTGTTTGCTGAAAACAGTGAAAGGTTTTACAGTTAAAGTCAAACATCTGTGTCAAATTTATACACTATTTTCAGATGTCTTTAAGAGGAATAGCCTGTGTCGGTGAGCCCCAATAGCAACACACCCTAACTAATCAATCTGCTTATAATATGCAGGTTACAACATTAGGCAGTGCATTCTGGTAATTAAGGCAGACTCTGAAGACACCCTATGTCCTAAGCTCAGTTCCACAACTGTTGTGATCCTGGCAGGTTCTTTAATAGCAGCTTCTTTTGAAGAATGGAGTGGACAAGAGATCTCACACCACATGGGGTCGTTTTTGAGAATTACATGAGAGAAAACATACAACGAATTAAGTTACAGTTAAATTTTTCCTCTCTCTTAGGAGGTTTGCTAAAAAGACTTTATTACCAAATGGAAGTCAATTACCTCATGGGGAACTTCTTGTAGGCGATCGAGTGCTCTGATGTGGTCCAATGTGTCTATGGACGGCGAGAGGCCACCGTGGAGACAGAAGATCTGAAAGAGAGTGGTTCATCATGTCACCCTCACCTAAAAGGTGGCCCACCTTACTTGTCCCCACTGGTATTGGTGTTCTGCCACAAGCAGGCTTGTCTCTGCAGCCCACTCTAAACTATCTAATACACTCCTTTTCCTGATAAACCATCACTACTTCATGCAGTCTCCACGTCAACCAGTTAGTTCCTGCAAGAAAATGTTTCTCTGACGTCACCTTCAACATAAACTATTTTCTTTCTCACAGAATGTTTTTGGAATCACCTTAACTGCACCTCCCTTATGTGTTCAGAAACAGACTGAGAGGATGAATGGGTTGTATCTTTCATTCTTGGGGTCCCAACATATAGGTCAGGACCTGATACAAAGGCACTTCACAAAGGCCCCAAAGGGATGTGAGGGTGGAAAAGTAAGTTACTGGCTCTTAAACATTAAGTAAGCAGAATACTGAAAGTAATCAGCAATGTAAGTTTTAACAAGACCTACATACCTGTCCATCCACCAAAGCAGTGAGAGGAAGATAGTCAAAAAGATCTGTAAAATATTTCCAAACATTTGCATTTCCGTATTTCCTTAAACACTCATCATAGAAACCATATACTTGTGTGATCTGTCTGCTCTCGTGATTCCCTCGAAGAATAGTGATGCGTTCACGGTAACGAACCTGAAATGACAAAATGGAAAACAACATAAAATGCTAGCACCTTCAAAACCAAATGACAACTCAGCAAACCTTCCACCGGGAAATCCAGAGTTCCAATTTTGTTATCTGGAAAGAAAGGGGGGAGGGGGGAAAAATCCAAGCCCTCACTGAACTGAAACCACACACCTACAGACATTTGTCCACTGAGACCTGTCAACCTAAGACCAAATCCTGCTACCATCAACTTTATACCAAGAATATTGATCAGCTATAAAACTCCATTCATGGATTTTTCCCAGTTCAATGATTTTTTGGTAAAACTTAATAGTTATGCAACAACCATCACAATCCAGTTTTAGAACCTTTCCTTTATCCCCAAAAGACCCTTTCCTTATGCCTATTTGAAGTTGCTCCCAACTCCCACTCCCAGCAACCACTGATTTACTTTCTATTGAGACTTGCCTTTTCTAGAAATGTCATATAAATGTAATCATTCAACATGCAGTCATTTTGTGCTTGGCTTCTTTCACTTAGAGTATTTTTTGAGGTTCACCTGTGTATAGATCAGTGGTTTGTTCCTTTTTATTCTGCACAGTATTCCATTATATGGCTATACCACATTTTGTTTTTTTATCACCAGTCAAATGAACACTTGGATTGTTTGCAGTTTGGGGCTATTATGAATAATGTTGTATAAAATTTATATTAACATGTAAGTTTTTGCATGAACATATACTTTCATTTCCCTTGGGTACAATCCTTACGGAGTATAAATGCTGGGTCATATGACAGGGATATGTTTAATTTTTCGAGAAACTGCTAAACTGTTTTTCAAAATGGCTGGACCATTTTACATTCCACCAGCAATGTATGAAGGTTCTAATATCTGTAAATTCACTAACATTTAGTATTATCATCCTTATTGATAACAGCCATTCAACTGGCTGTGACTGTGACTCTAATTTGCATTTCCCTGATGATTAATGATTTTGTGCATCTTTTCATATGCTTACTGACCATTCAAATATATTCTTGGATGACTATCCAAATACTTTGTCCATTTTTAAATTATTTGTCATCTTAGTTGAAGGTTTTTAAAAAATACATGACTACAAATACTTTTTTCAGTGATGTCTTCTGAAGAAAAAATAATCTTAATTCTGATGAAGTCCAATTTATTAATTTTTAAAATTAATTTGTGTCTAAAATATGACTGTGCCTTCGGTATCATAGCTAAAAATCTATGCCTAACCCAAAGTTACAAAGATTTTTCTAAGTTTTATTCTAGAAGTTTTGTAGCTTTCTCTAGCTCTCATATTTAGGTTTATAATCAATTCTGATCCATTTGTATGGTATGAGGTATCTGTTTGTTGTTTTTTTAATTTTTTGTTTATTTGTTTTTTGCAAACAAATGGATACCCAACCGTTCCACTACTACGTGCTGAAGTTTCCTCCCCCCACAGTACAACAGTTGTCCAGGGTCGTCATAACAAGCACCAATGGTGGCTTAAACAATAGAAATGTATTTACTCACAGTTCGAGAGGATGCTAGCAGGGTGGTTATACCTGAAGGCTTCTTTCCTTGGCTAATAAATGCCCAACTTCTCTACAAGTCTTCTCATCACCTTTCTTCTGCATCTATGTCCTAATCTCTCTCTTCTCTAAGGACACCAGTCACATTGGATTAGGGCTGCTCCATATGAGTTTTACCTTTAATTACCTCTTTAAAGGCCCTATTTCCAAATATAGTCACATTCGGAGGTTCTGAAGTTTTCAACATAGGAAATTTGGGGGTGGTACTGGCACAATTCAGCCCATAACAGCTTCAAATATGAATTCTTAAACGTACTACATCCACTCCTTCTTTGAGCACTGGGATTCACCCTGGACTTTAAGTATAGGTTAGCTTGTAAGACTGCTTTCCTACCATCTAAAGCCACTGCAAAAACTTTCCCTCATTTAACCTAACTCCTTTACTTTGTAGATGCAGAGGATAATGACCTCCAAAAATAGTTTGTAGCACTTTTCATGACTCAGACTAGCAGTTTCACAAACACATACACTGTATTAACTGCCTAAAATTCAGCTCTTGCCAAAACTACATCTCACTGCTTCTCAAAACTGTCAGAAGTCTTTGGCCATTTTACCATTCTGCATATTACTTAATATAATCTTCTCCCCCAAAGAGAAAGTCAACTCTTTCTTTTAAGTAAAAGGCAGAAGCCTACCAGACTAAAAGCTATTTACCATTTTGTGTTTCATCTTCAGAAACACAAAACATTTGAACATTTGTGTTGAACATTTACCAAAACTGTAACTGGTATAAAGCAACTTGTTTTCTTTAATTATCATTTCTGTTATTCTAGATTATCATGTCATGTTTAATGACTGCAAACTAGTCCACTGAGATAAATCATAATTTAGGTATTCATTTACTGTTGGATGTTTAGTTCAATTCTTTTTCTGATATCAAAACAAGGCTGTACTTTATGTTCTCATAAAAATAAAGGTCTTTTCCTCTTGAATTTCTACCTCTAATAAAATTATAAAATTACTGTGTCACAGGATATACATATTCCAACAATTGATGTGTTTTATTCCTTGAAAATACTTCAAAAATATCCAGAAAGGTATTACCTCCCCACATCCCAATTTATTGATGTAAAATTTCCATTTAACTAGCCCTCTATTTTTTTCCAAATAATCAGATTTACTCTATTCCTTAAAGAATATCCTTTATTTTTCCCATTGCCTTATTTAGAATGAAGACATACCTATAATTTATAAGCCCCAAATCTGAATACCTGCATTCCTAAATTTGCAGTTTCACTCTAAAACCTAACGTTCAGGTGGAGAAAATCACAAATCACTGGGAAAAAGAACACCCAAGAAGACTGTTTTACCCAGTTTAAAATATCCAAACATAAAAATTGAAATTACCTTAAGAGCTACGAGCAGAGTAACTGTTTCAACTGAATAGTATCCTCTGTCAACATAGTCTCCCATAAACAAGTAGTTTGTATCTGGTGACTTGCCGCCGATTCTGAACAGCTCCATGAGGTCGTGGAACTGCCCGTGCACGTCTCCGCAGACAGTGACTGGACATCGCACCTCCTGCACGTTGGATTCTTTTGTCAGGATTTCTTTAGCCTACAGGTGGAGAAAAAATAAACCAATACATCAGACATTAAACAACATTAACAAGCATATGTTTATTTACACTTAATGTAGCTTATGGGGTGAGCTCAGTAGAAGACGGAATTGTAGGCAATTATGATCCCATTAAAATAGGAGAGCAAGATTCTACTCAATGGTTCTCTCTCCTGATTCTTAGAACCTCTGATTCTTAGAAAAAGTGTGTATCAAGATGTATATTCCCTGTTCTTCTCATCAGCATCAGAGTTTTTAGGCCTATCAGCTGCCATCCAAGTAAACACTAAAGAGATTTTATTATTAGCAGTTATATAAAATCAATGAAAATGGAGCAAAACATTCAGGTACCTAGTTCCTTAGTTTTGAATCCTGGCACTCTGAAATTCTAGGCTCTGAGAAATTGCTTAGTCTTGCTTGACTTAATCACAAATTCAAACATAATTTTTAAGGATAACATAATATATCTCTCAGTATCATTTCACTTATTCCACACACACACTTACTGATCATTTACTATATGACACAAATTGTGAAGAGCACTGGGAGGTAATCAGTGATTTGCTGAATTATCTGAGTGAGACTATGTGCCAGGCCCTGTGCTAGCCACTGGAAGTCTAGTGAATGCAAGTCATTACCACAGTGGGGTGGTGGGAGAGGGCCCACAAACAAGTAACTACATAACAAAGCACAGACTGTGTTAAATGCCATGAAAGAATGGGAGAGAGTAACTAGTCCAGCCCACTTTAAATGAGATATCAATCACAACAAACAAGACAGCCCAAAAAGCACAGAGGAGAGCAGGAAAGGCAGACAACAAAAATGATCATTACAGAAGAAAAGGCCAAGTGCTAAGACAAGCTGAAGCAAGCAGCCACATTCTATGATCACATTCCAGGATCAGAATCCCTGGGACTGATAGGAGGTCCAATACAGGCAGCGACGTGTACAGTCCTAGGAGTTGAGGGAAAAATGAACATGGCTGAAGCATAACCCGCAGGTATAGAGAAGAGGGTGGGCTTAGGGTAACTAACTACCCTGGTTTTAACACTGAAAGTCCTGAATCCCTGGAAATGCCTCAGCTGCCCTAGGCAAACCATGACAGTTGGTCACCCAAGTAGTAAATGAAGGGGGAGAACGAAGCATGGATACAGACTGAGCAACAAGTCTAATCAAAGTGGTATTAGAACACAGGTCCAGGGACAGACAATCTGATGAGTGAAGGCAGGGCTATGGTTGTGGATCTGAGATGCGAGCAGAACTTAAAGGCCACCAGTACTCATGGACCAACCCACAGACAGGTCTTGCCCAGTCTCCTTCTGAAAGACATCTCAAATCCATCTGCTTCATCCTTTTTGCTACTACCCTGGTCCAAGCCACCATCATCTCACCTGGATTACTGTGCTGGCCCCCACACCAAACTCCCTGTTCCATTTTCCTGCCTTAATCTATGTTCCACGCAAACAATCAAAGTAAGACTTTTAAATGTTCACCAGTTCATTTTATTCATGACTGCATACACAGCACCTGGCTGGAACAATGTCTGAGATATACAAGGCATTTCATACATATTTGTCAAATGGATCAAGAACGTAAACCAAGGTCATCTTCAGGGAAAGTTGTGGTTATCTCCCAGGACATCAGCAGGCCTGGAAGTGGATATCAAGTTCTTTGGAGATGAAGAAACAAGTAATAATAGTGAAGAAAGATGCCCAGATACCTAGGTAGAGGTCAGAAGCCTGAAAAACAGAGAATTTTATCCTTGAGTAACAGGAGGCAGCATCCACCCATCAGGGAGAGCTATCAGAGAAGGTACATTAATGACTTCCTCAGAAAGAGTGAGATTTCAGTTAAGCCATTAAGGCTAAAGAAAATTGTCTTGAGAATGGGTTAAAGGTGTTTTACTTCACATATTCAATGAACATTTATTGAGTACCCTGTCTATGTGTGACCAAAATTATGGAATGGTGTTCCAGAATGCACATCGGGAGGCTGGTCAAGGAAAGGCAAAACACTGCAACACAGGATGAAATCACCCACAGAACTGTTGCTAATGAGTCTTTGCTCATTATATTTCAAGTGACAACCAAGTATGACAGGGTTGGTTTTAAGGCAGTGGTAGGCAACCTTAGCCACACACTGAAATTCAATTGCTCTTTTTAACCAAAATCAATCAGCCAGCCCAGGCTACTCCTCTCCCAATTAAGTCAAATATATGGGGGTAGAATCCAAGCGTAAATAATTTTTTTTTAAAGTCTGCTTTCCCCACCCCATACCATACTGGTGCTCTCAGGTACAGCCAAGTTTAAGAGCCAAGTTTAAGAAGCATTATTTTCAAGTCTCCAAACATTCTGGGAAGCCTATTTCACCACATTCACCAACCACTGACATCTAAAATTAATTATTAATCAGACCTAACACTTTTAATGTAGAAAAATCCACTGTGTCTCAAAAAGAGATAGTTCTTAAGAAATACATATAATCTATACCTAGTTTATATCCAACCTCCCCTGACTTATTACTATAGAAAAGTATAAATTAACTAGGCAGACTCTATTACTAACTCTGTTTGGCACTAATACCACGTGTAGTGTTTTTAGCACCTACTACACACTAATGAAAACAGCTGTGAATGAAATGACAGGTCTACTTCAAAGAAATTTGCAAAAGTTACTGGCCACTCTCCACAGTCTCATTCCCCACCGTGGGCCTAAAGTAACCACCAATAGCATTCTGATGCATGTCCTCTCAAAACCCTGTTTACACATTTTAATACCTATTATATGCCTAAGGAAGCTTAACTGTATATTTAAACTAGAAACAGTATCGTTCAGCAGTTTGTTTTTCTCCTTAACAATGTATCTGGGGAAAAAAACAAGTATCTTGGAGTTCAGAATGCACACATACAGACCTGGCTAATTTCTCAGTGGGTGTACAGTATTCCCTGAGGAATGATAATGGGGGGAGGGGGGAACAGGACACGACTATGATGACACACAGAGCACTTGCAATATATGGCCCAGTAGCTGCTCCCTTGCATACATATGCAGGCACACTTCCTGAAAGAAGAGACTGTAAATGGACCTTAGCATATTTAGCAGTTTGTACTTTTTTATGGTGACACTACCAAATTGTCCTCCAAAAGGGAAAGGACATTGTATCTATAAAGTGAATGTTTTAACTGCTACACCTGGGAAAGTCATAACTTTCTTCCTTTCCTACCAAATTTCAGACCAGACCAATTATAATTAAATCCTGGAGAAAGCAGCAGTATGTATCAGATGCAGTACAGTATATATTAAAAACAAAAACTCACGTTTACGAAGAATCAGTTCTAACTATACCTTTTGTTGTTGTTTTGTCTCAGTTTTTCAGCTCCCAGATGGCCACTATACCAAAATACACTATCACAGAACACGAGAATAATAAAGGCTGCAGATGTCCTTATTAAAGATTATTATTTTTTAAAGATTTTATTTCTTTTTAGAGAGGGAAGGGAGAGAGAGAGAGAGAGAGAAACATCAATGTGCAGTTGCTGGGGGTCGTGGCCTGCAACCCAGGCATGTGCCCTGACTGGGAATCGAACCTGTGATGCCTTGGTTCGCAGCCCGCACCCAATCCACTGAGCGACGCCAGCCAGGGCTAAAGATTATCTTACAATCAGGGAAACTAATCATATAAAAAGAGGTCTGACAGAAGCTGTGCTACCACAAAAAGTCAGGCCTTGTAAATCACAGAAGCACCTTAAGGAACCCAGCAATGGGTCACCTAGTGGGACCTCTAAAGAGTCTTCTTCAGAGCCTCCAGGCCTTCCTTCATCAGTCATTACAACTTCAACTCTCTAGTCTAATACTCAAAAGTAAATGGTAGAACCAGACTTTCAAAGTCACAGGATTAGGGATTTTTTATTTTTAATAACTACCTTTTCACTCTGGTATTCTGACTGCTATAATTTAAAGCCCCATGTCACCTGAATTATGCACAGAAACTAAAGCAAAACACACCACCCAAACTTTTTGTTGCTCCCCCTAAAATAGTTTTTCCAGACCTTCAAATGTCTCAGCTAATTTGAAAGTAAACAAAGCTAATTTGAAAATAATGAAGATCAAGTTTTTAAAAATAGCATAATTAGCATCATATTAATTTTTTATTTATTGGAACCCTACTTAAGTTCAGTCAAATGGTAAAGACTGAAATGAATGAATTCAAGGGAAAAATATTTGATATAAATCTTCCTGGAACACGGTTAAAGTGGAAATAGGCTATTCCATTAATAAGAGCTTATCCCAACTAACCACATGAGGTTAAAATTTTATAGCATCCTAATATCCAAACAATTCGTAGTCACTTGAAGCAAAGCTACCTTTAGGGATATTAATTTATTATCAAAATCTTCTCAGCATTCTGGGTTCAGGTTCAGAAGTCATACAACTTTATTTTTCAACCTACCATAAAACAATCAAGTATAAGGGTGAACGACCTTACAGATTTGTTTGACATTCTTAGATATAGGTCATTCCTAACTACCATAACATGAAATTACAAACAAAGCAGATTTAAATTAGACCTCACAGATCACCCAAGCCAAGATTTTTCAAGGAAATAGGGTGAAAAAAATGAACCAACAACAGATTTACCAACCACTTACATACTAATTTCCTTAAGGATACACAATAGTGATATCATTTCTATTTAATCTATTATCATAGGAAAAGACATACAACACTTTTATGCAGATTTATCAAATATTTAAAAATACATTTATAACTACAGAAAAATCCTTTATATAAAAAGAATGAAAAACATTAAAATGTTGATACTATTTATTTCAGTGGTGAAACGTGTTTATCTACACACAGACCTCATGTCTACAAATGGTAAATGTCTTGTTTTGTGTTCTAGTTTTCATATTCACTAATCCAATTTCCTACAGCATTATAGTAGTCATTTTAAACTACTGTATATAATATCCTCCTGAACAGATGTATGCACGTATTTTC